ACAGACAGACAGACAGACAGACAGACAGACAGACAGACAGACAGACAGACAGACAGACAGACAGACAGACAGACACACTTAGCGCGTTATATATAGTAGGATTCCCGGGGAAATCAATAGATAATTATCAAGGGGACGCATAAGGGCTTCCGCAGCATTACCGCCATTGAATGGACCACACCGAATTTTGAATATCATCTTGTACTAGGCACGCCCAGGAAGAAACGAGGGTGTAACAGCTCAGATATCAGCAACCTATTCGATGCTAACGCTGATTACCGAGCAACGGTCAACAATCGACTGGATCGCTTCATGGCAAGAGATACTATCAATCGAGATAACGCAAGCATCGCCGCCATAGTTTCGTGTGGCGTGAAGGGCTTCACTACTAGTTGCTTAACGCAGGCTGAGTGTCACAGCTATCGCTCACCCTTAGTAATCGGCCAACACCGTTAGAGAAAGACGTCCAGAACCATGATTCAGCTCTCTACTACAGAAGCACAACGCACGTCGAAACTACGCCAAAGACGCCTATCGTATCTTCAACGGCTCAGCTCGTTTCAGATTAATCATCAATTACACTCCCAGAATATTGTTCCTTTGAATTACCACTGCCCAGCCTTCTGAAGCATCCCATAGTTGGGATAAAGTTCGTGCCTCAATGTGATCTGGGAAGTGCAGCCAATTACTTCTTGACTTCAGCCACAGCTTCCTGACCTCTGAACACATGGCATCAGTGATTTGCTCGAAGAAAAAGAGACGGTTCTTAGTCTCTCTGGTGAGTATACTTCAATGACTGGTTTTTTGGAGAATACTATAAACTAGTTCAAAAAGGCCTCCATTTTGTCGCAGAACTTTTTGGCCAACCATCGAATCTGGAAATTATCAGTAATTTAGTGTTTCAAAACACACCTTAACTACAAATTTTTCTGGTACTTCTTTGTCTCGGTGCTGCCAATCGGGTTCAATGAGCACGACTATTGACATGTACCCCTGGAACACAAGAAGTTGCAGGGCACATCAGAGAAAAGAAAGAAACCAAAGAAAAAATTCTTCAATTGGCGTATATCCTTTTGAATAGCTGAAGCGAGTTTCCCATTGTGAAAGTCAAAACTGTGGATGGCATATTCTCACTACAGACTTTTCTAACCCAAGCTACGGCTTCAGTCAATGACATGGACTTTGCTGCTGCGTTTTAGTCGAAGAGCTCTAAGCATCTTGATGCAAATTTATGGATCTCCATTTTCTTTCGGCAATGGAATTAATTGTCAGTTAGGCAAGACGGCGACTTTTGCTGTGACGACTTTATTGCTTTTACCCGTACGTGCCGCTTTTGTTATGGAATCAATAGATAATTGGATTGAGGTATGGCCGCTAGAACGGCGCATTGGGCGGACATTTTCAGTTAGGCTTCCAGGTCTCCCATGAGTTGCAGTGTAAAAATTCTGATTACTCACTAGTTTGGATTTTTTTGGAAATTTCAGGCAACTTCAGCAGTAGAAGCACATGGCTGTCGTCACATGAGGATACTCACCCAAATTTTGTACGGGAGCATTCTATTAAGGTTACCTCACCAAAATCTCACCAAAAA